GTGGACCAACACTGGAGAAACACTGATAGAGTTCATGGGAGAGCTAGCAGGAAACAGTGAAAATCAGAGGAGGTGCCGAAAGAGCCCATCCACGGCCCTGGTATCACAAAGGGGAAAATCCATGGAGTCGAGTTGATTCCATGTTCAATGGTTTTCCGTCTTTACCTGATTTCCCCTTAATATTTCATCCCAGTTTAGGCAGCATGATCATATGTTCCAGTTCGTCCGGGACAGCCCAGGATTCACCTGTTGTTCTATTGTGATTATTAATAGCACTTCCTTCCACTCTTAAGTGTCCAGGCTTGGATGAGATTTTATGGTGACTCCATTGCTTCAGGGAAATCTGCGCAAAAAAGAAATTATTTGTTATTCAGGCCTCTCGCTATATGTATAAGCTTTTGCTGAGCCATATATATATATATATTTCTATTTTACGGCCTTTATTAGCAGACACTGGTATCTTAAAATCATTACTGCCAAGTCTAAATTCTTAAAAATCTCAGAAACCCAGTAGCTTCTGAACAGCAATGAACTTCCAGTAAAATATAAATAAATAAAACAAAGTTGTCTAGTCTGTCCCATCATCCTTAGAATGAACTCATTCTAGCAACACAGAGTATGAGCCCAGACATCATAATGGAAAATGCACTGGAAATGGGAGCAGAATGCTGTGTGGACATACGGGAGAGATGATACTCCCTGCCAGGTTCATACATGGCCTAGGGGTCCAACTGTCAGAGATGAATTCTGGAACAGCAATCACTTCTGGTCAGTTGGTGAAAAGATACGGTGACAGAAAGACAAGACAAGTCAGGTCTTTGGCAGGTGAAGGAAGTGATGTTAGTGACACTTTCAAAGATCAATGTGCCAAAGGTGTCTATTATAGCAGTTTAGGTTTTTACTAACCAAGTCTATTTTTTAAAAAAACTCAAACTTTGACTTGCTTTGATTTACTTCACTGCTGCTAATTATAAATATTAAAGCAACACACAAAAAAGAGCTCTCTTGTGTTTTATATGTAATCAGGGAATATCTGATAGCCAGTAGTGACTTTTTCCTCCCTTAAAATAGGTATATACAGTTGTTAAATATTCCAGGAGATATTATGGCTCCATTTCATATTTTAATGTCGGAGGAATTTAGTTCAGTGATTTCTGCCTAAGCACCATTGTTTCAAGATCATTTGCCCAAACTGCATGTTTGGTTCTGCTCAAACACAGCTGCAAGTTCTTTCTTTCTATATTCGGATATGGAGTGACTGATGGCTAGCATTAGCCATCTGGATGAGGAGTGTGTGGGTGGGAGAGTGGAGAGGGGACATAGCGATGCACAGCCTCACTGCATGGTCCGGGGATCATTTCTAGACTTCTCTATATCTTGTAACCCGGCCTTGACCCTCACCTTTGACCCTGCATGGTCAAAAGAGGCCCTGAATGGTACATGAGTTAGTCAATTCTATCAGACTCAATGTCCTCATTCTTTAAATTTATTTTGTTAATCCTCAAACAAGGATATTTTTTCCTTTTTTTTTTTATTTTTTGAGAGAGAGTGCGAGGGAGGGAGGAGGAGAGAGAGAGAAACATCGATGTGAGAGAGAGTCATCAACTAGTTGCCTCCCTCATGTGCCCCAACCGGGGCTGGGCATTGAACCTGCCAAATTGGCCAGGGCTAATGTCCCCATTTTACAGTTAATATTATAGAACACCTTCTGAAGTTTTCTGAAATTAAATTCATAGATGATATAATTAAGCTACACACATATATCTTTAAAATTAATAAAATGACATAACAATAGTATATGAACAAACTTTATGAAAATACTTCATAATAAAAATAACATACATTCCAATACACAGTGTTCAGTCATGACTCAGACAGGATGTAATAAAGTGGTCAAGTGCTTGGAACTAAATTTAGGTTTTCCCTGAATGTAACAGCTACAAATGAAGAGTGATACAAGCCTCTTCATTTAGTGCCTCAAATACTCTGAGTAGTTTTGCCATTGGTGACATGGTTTTTGAAAATGGGATTGAAAAAGCCCTGGCTGGTTTGATTCAGTGGTTAGAGTGTCGGCCTGCTAACCTAAGGGTCTCAGGTCACGTGGGAGGCAACCAGTGGATGTGTCTCTCTCACATTGATGTTTCTCTCTCTCTCCCCCCTTGCTTCCCTTCCCCTCTAAAAATCAATGGAAAAATAACCTCAGGTGAGAATTAACCAAATAAATAACTAAATAACCAAATAAATAAAATGGTATTAGCTATTGGTAATGTTCATAAAAAGGACAATCTTTCCTCATATTTTATAGTAGCTTCATTTCTAGAAAATTGAGTGTATATTAAAACCTGGCAAAAATACTTTGTGCTTATATGTAAAACCAGGTTCTAGGCTCAGACAATTATAAATAGTTTTTTTACCCAAATGAATGTCCAGAGGGTCATTCAAAAGTCACATATGGCCCTGGCCGGTTTGGCTCAGCGGTTGGAGTGTCGGCCTGCGGTACAGAGAGACCCGGGTTCGGTTCCCGCTAAGGGCATGTACCTCTGTTGCAGTTTGTCCCCGGCCCTGGTTGGTCGTGCGGGTGGCAGTCACTCGATGTGTCCCTTCACGTCGATGTTTCTCTCTCTCTCTCTCTCCCTCCCGCTCTATCTGAACAAAAAATGGAAAAAATGTCCTCGGGTGAGGATTAAAAAAAAAAAAAAGTCACATATGACCTGGGGCAATTCCTAAAGATATGGGACTGCATTGTGCATTTCAGCATGTCTAGCAACCCTGATCCTTCATCGCTAACTTGCAGCAGTACTCTCCCCCAATCATGTGACAACTAAAAATACACACACACTCCTATTCTCAAAGTGGCCTCTAACGCCATTGAAAACACTCACTATACAATACACTCAAGCCAGGAATCATTTACATAGTGATCTCCATTTTTTTTTTAAGTTGAATTATTGGAGAGGTCCCTTGTTAAGTTCCAATTAAAATGGAGGATAGATTGATGGATTCTCAAAAAAATAGTGGCGAGTGGATAGAATCTGTTATCCTTTATATCGGTATTTTATTTAAATTATAAACAGCTGTAACTTTTCAGTGATGTATAACAACAGATACTTATTTTTTTTCTCACTTACTGGCTGGTGGGTCAGAGGGGATTCTGCCAGGGTTCAGTTAGTTAACTGTAAGTTAAAAGTCAGATATTGATCACGAGGATTGCCAAGCTGCTGGAGAAAACTTTCCTTTGAACATCACCAGCAGCTTCTGATACACTGTCCTCAGTGTGATAGTCTAATCAGCATCACTGAGAACAGCATGTTAGCTGCAATGGAGACTGGAAATGTGAGTTTCTAACATTTTCATCTTATTTAGTGTGAGGTTGACTCTGCCTTCAAGACGCATAAGGTGGGTGTATCTGTTCGTTGGGTTAGCTTATGTGTGTAACAAACAAGCACCAAAATCTCAGTTGCTTTGAGTAACAAATATTTATTTATTTTTCCTTATACTCTATGTCAGTTATAGATTAGCAGCTGGTTCTGGGCTCATCATAATCTGTCTAGAACCTGGATTGCTAGAACAGTCACCATCTCAAAAATTGCTTTTCACTATATCAGAGACAGAGCTTGGTGAACTGGCTTTTAAATTACCAACTGGCTACGACAAAGCTCACTTCCAATTCATTTTATAAGCCAAAAAAAATTAAATAGTTATACATTATTCTAAGGAGGATGGGAAGTATAATTTCATTGTGTCCAGCAGATTCTGGAAATACATGGTATACTACACTAATGACAACTCTGATGCTTAATTTCCCAAACATGAAAAGAGAATTTAGATGCTGGGCAACCCAAATACAAGAGGACAAATGTCCACTAGAGACTGTCTTATTTATATATTTTCTATATACTGTCATGCTCAGTCTACTGAGTTGCTATTAGTAACATAGTGATTGATGAAGAAATGTTTGTTGTATAAAAGGATATGAATAAGGTGGTTTAACTTTCCAAAATTCACTATAATTGAGGCTTAAAGAGAGATACTTTGCTATTTAATTCCACACTGCAAAGCGTGATAAACATAAGTGGTGTTTGTATGCAATGTTACATTTTAGAAAGCTTGGGAGTTGGAGTGGTTCACTGGAAAGAGAAAAAAGAAGCTTCCTTCCAATCTTGCTTTGAATGTGTACATTTGTTGGTTTCCCCGACAGTGGGGATACTTTCTCTTGTGCCTAGTGTACAGTTTGGTACATGGCAGGCATTCAGTAAAAGTAGTTCTAATATATATCATTAGCTGTGTAGTCTTGGGGAAGCCCCCCTCCCTGACCCCACACACAAACACACACAATGTATTAGTTATGTCTGCCTTTTGTATTGTAAGGATCTCCCAGAAGGAGCAATATGATAGTGTAATTGTGGTTGTCATGTAATGTACTTCCACACAGTGCCTGCCACAAGGTATTCAGTATAATGAATATTCAGTAGAGCGTTGTTGACTTTAAAACACTAAATAAGCATTTGCTCTATTTTTATTGTGGAATGGGGTGGATGCCTAAGAAAGCATAAGTTTGTTCAGCGTGCTGGGGCTGAGAAGTTGTGGGAACCTGGTTCCCATCAAATCAACACTAATAATGTTCAACAGGCTTCGTTCAGATCTCTCAAAGGTCAAACACTTTACAACTACCGATGGGCTCCCCAAGCTCGCTTTCCTTCCGACGCGAACCCCGGCCCCGCCCGCCGGCCCGCCCGCCGCTTGCCAACTGCCGCAAAGCCCCGCCTCCCAGGGCGGCCCGCCAATCGGCTGCGCGGACCGGGCCCAACCCTCGCGAATCATGTGACGCTCGCAGGCCCCTTCCGGCGCGTCGCGGGCGGCTGACGTCGCCGGGGACCGGCGTCGCGTCTGGGCTGGCCGGCGGCGGCAGCGGCGGCGGCGGCGATGGCAGCGGACACCGAGCGGGCTTGAGGGTTCGGACCTGCTCCCTCCCGCGCGACCTCGGGCCCGACCCGTCTCCGAGGCCCCAGTTCGCTCCGCTCCCGCTTCCACCCGGCGCTGCCTGGGCGGAGGCGGAGTTGGAGGCGGCGGCGGAGGCCCGGGCTGGCCGCCCTACTAGTGTCCCGGCTCGGCCCCGGACGGCCCGACTACTGTGCGGACAGGAGGCCGAGTCGGTAAGAGGCGGCGGCGGCGTCGGCAGCTGGGCGCGGAGCCCGCCGGACCCCGCCGGGCCGCCCGGGACGCCCCGACGCTGGTGTCTCTCCGGCGCGCTCCCTCCCGCGTCCCTCCCTGTAACTCGCCGCCCCTATTGTCTGGGCGCCGCCGCTCCCTCACCCCCTCCCTTCCTTCCCCCCTGCTGACGGCCGGACGGCTGTCAAACCTGGAGGCGTCTCCCGCTCCCCGCCAGCGCCCTCTGAGCCTTTCCTGTCTGCCCCTGGCCACCCGCCCCGCATCACTCCCCACCTATTTGGTGGCCCCGCGGCCATTCTCTGACCCTGGCTGCACTTTCCAGGTGTTGCATCTTCTTGCTGATGCTCTCTTCGCACCCAGTTGTCATCTCTCACAACTTAAACCACCCTCCTTTTTTGCCATTCTTTTTCGCTTTTTTTTCTGTTTTTACTCCTCTCGGTTCTTTCCACCCCTCCCCCCCCTTTTCTCTTTTTGACCCTTGCCCCATAGACTGTTTTACTTTGTCTTACTTTTCCTTAATTCAAATCCCTCCTCATCCTTCCCTCTCCGCCCGAGAAATCTAGCCTTTTCTGCTTACTCACACGGAAGTATCACCGGCAAATTAATTATGCGTCTTAACTCTATTACTTCTTATGGATTTTAAGTTTCAGTCTAGAAAATGTTAATGAACCCCTTAGTAAATTGTTCCTGTGACTAACAGAAGTGGTTGATTAGATTTCTACACAGTTAAGTAACTGCCGTACATGTTGCAAACTGACCAGACCACTATTAAAAATATTCATATTTTTGTTCCTTTTACACCAAATAAACTTCTGGCCGAGCTTCCTGTTAACTTCAGTGCACTAATCTTTGCTGCTGCCATGGCAGGAGGACACTTCCGCCCCAACCATGAGTATTTAAGTTTGATTTTACATATTTTTATGCCAAATATTGGTGTTATTTTTCCCGCCTTATGTATCAGATTCTTTCAAAAAGTAAAGGACAGTTTTACTTATTTTTTATTTTTTTAGTATAATTTAATTTAATTTTTATTGAATTTATTGGGGTGACAGTCGTTAATTATATAGGTTTCAGGTGTACAATTCTATAGTGCATCACTACCCCAAGTCAAGTCTCTTTCCATCACCATTTATTACCCCTATACCCTCTTCTGCCTCCCCCCACCCTCCCTTCCCTCTGATAATCACCATACTGTTGTCTATTTCTAAGTTTTTTGTTTTTTTGCTTAATCCCTTCACCATTTTCATCCAGCCCCAAACCCTCTTCCCCTCTGACAGCTGTCAGTCTGTTCTGTCTCTGAGTCTGTGTTTGTTGTTAGGTACTGGTTCTTTTGAATATGACCATACTTTTAAAGCAAGTACACATTTGTGTGTTTTCCTTTTTAAACTTGGAGGGAGCATTGTCATATTAGTAATTTTAAATATCAAAAAGGTTTTAGGGATCTCTTTGAATTCCTGATTACCTGTTATCTTTTGATAAGGCTGTCTTAAAATGCATTTATATTACTCAAGTACTAGATACTTAGTGAAAAAGAGGCTACATCAAATCGTGGCCCTTGTGGCCAAAAGGATAGTGACCTAGAGAGGAATAGATACTCCTTTGCAGTTTTTTGTTTGTTTGAACATTACAGCCACTTTTATTGTCACTGTTCAAATCGACAGAAACACTGTCTATATTGAAATACTGTAGAAATGAATTACCAGAATTAAAAAAAATTTCCATCATTGTGGCTCATTGAATTCAATGAAGTATAAGAAAGAAAGTTCCTTTGCAACTGTATATGTTAGATTAGAATGACTGAATCATTTGCTACCAAGGTGGAAGGTCATAGGTAATGAAAAGTCTGAATCACAAAAGGAATTGCTAAAACCTTCACTGGCAGAGAAGTGTGTCTTTGTGTGTTCTTCAGAGCCATATCAAAAGTGTATTACAAGACACTCAGTAAATATGTGTTTAAAAATTTGGTTAATTTGTTCTCAAGAATTTCATTAGTCATATTCCAAGGACACTTAGCTCTCTTGATTTTTCAAAGACAGAAAAACATGTTCAGTCGTTATTGTGGAGAGTTTTCTTAGGTATTTTCCAAGTTAAATGTAAAGCACTGTAGTCATTAGTTAGTTTTAATACCCATCTATGTATTCTTTTTAAGTAGTTATCTTTTTAATGTTCTTTTTCTTAATTCATTGTCATGATTGCCTGTGAGTTGCACAGTACTCTATCTAGAGATAAATTCAAATTTCTTAAAAATTTGGCAGTTATTTTAACTTATCTCATAATGTTTTTCGATTTTTGTTTAATTCGTTACACATTTTATGCATCAGAATCTAACTTTGTTTTTCCTCTTGAGGTAGTGAAAAGAGAATACTGAAGAATAGGATCTCAAGATGAGTAAAAAGCCCCCAAATCGTCCTGGAATCACTTTTGAGATTGGTGCTCGTTTGGAGGCACTGGACTACTTACAAAAATGGTATGGAAAATATGGAGCTCTTGACCTGCCCCACAATACTGTAGTCTTATGTCTGTTGGTTCATTGCTGTTCTCACAGTGGCAGGAACATTAATGTCACATTTTGAATATGCATATGCATTATTTCTTAGTTTTCCTACTCTTCACATCTTGCAGGTTTAGCATTTAAACACTGTTGCTACACAGAATCATTTTAATCACGATCATTTTAGGTGATCTTCAAATAATTATATAGAATATGAGATATAAAGAGAGTATCAGTATCCTTGTGTACTTAACATGAGCTATATTGAGGTGGGAGGGGGGCATTAATGCAGATAACTAGCTTCCCAGCTTTTGGATAAAACTTTTAAACTACAGAATATGTTGATAGTGAGCATAGTCATTGTTCACTAGCCCACTGGAAACCAAAATCCACTTTACCTCCCCCTTCCCCAGAGTGCAGTGTCCTAAAGTCAGGTTGTTACTGTGTTTCCTAGTACACAGGCAGCCCTTTTGGACCTTCTCTTATTTCTTCTCCTATGCTGGCCATCTGTGATAAGTGGTGAATTCAAACACCTCAGTGTACCCCTCATCATGTCATGGGGAAAATTAGTTTCATGAGATAAAGCCACCACCTGGGAAGGAGAGATGAGGACACAGCACACAAAGGTCACCTGATCACAGTAAGAATAACGAGGGTACTTTCTCATTCTGCTTAGCTGGCCTCTAGTTCTGCTCTCTGGGACGACATCTCTTGTTGCCATTTTCTGCTCCCTACCCTGAGAGGGGCATTGGAGGGTTTCCTCTCCTGGGCGTGGTGCTGCCTCAGCTCCTCGGAAGTCCGATTATTTTGATGAGGGGCCTAGCAGTTAAGCAACTCCAGGACTGGCTACCAGGCTTTTTGACATTTTCTCTCACTATGCCTCCCTTTGAAACACTGGGCATTTTGTAGATTTGCTTTTCATTGATTTAAGTCAACTTCCTGTGTTGGCAGTGGCAGGTGGAGAAAATCTTGTTTTGTCATATTTGAAAAATATGGGGCTTTTGTCTCTTAGCCTCTGGCGTTAGAACTCTCCACATGTCCCTGACCCCCAGCCTAATGGACTGTCTTGTGGCCTCTGCTTTGGGACAGTTTGAAACTACAGTTTGAGATGGGAAGGCACAGCTATTTGGCTCATGCCGTTGAGCTACATCTTAGTGGATACTTCTTTGTAGGGGACATAATTGTTACTCTCTTCTGGTGCAGGGTGTACACAGTAGTACTCAGGAGGGGCTTGGGAAACACCTGGGAGGCAGGCACTAGCATCCCTACTGGTCATAAAAATCATCTCCAGACATTGCCAAATGTTCCTGGGGTATCAAGCATGCTCCTGAGTGAGAGCCACTGCATTAGACCAACAGGGGATGCCAGCTTAGTCAGCTCTCGGGTTCTGAACTGACCAAAGGAAGCTTTTTACTATGAAGGCACACTTTTGAATCTCTGTGTCATACAAGAGTATGAGAAATGTTACTTCTTGCTTCTTTGATGTTAATCTTAAATTCGTCTTCTTTTTTTTTAGTTACTAAGTTTTTGAATTACTAGTTAACTCATATTAATAATATATTTTCTTAGGCTTCCAAACCGACAAAATTGCAGTTGAACTGATGTCAGTTTTGGAGAAACACTTAGTTTATTAGTTTCCTCAGTGACTTGCAGGGATGTTCACATAATTTACTTTGGTATTAGTAAGAAATTCACTCTAAGTGCTGAGATGTTTACTTATTCAACAGTTGTTAAAATGATGATCCAGTAGTTAAAGTAAAAAGATTATTTAAAAAAAACAACACACTTTTAAAATCAAACCCAAGTGTCCTTTTAGAGAGTTTGGAATTTCAGAGAACAAATGAAAATTCTACCTTAAATTTTTTCATTGTCTTATGCTTCCCACCATGAAACTCCTAAGTACTTAGGTAGGGTGATAACATGCATATAGACGCATTAATGGAATTTGGATTTAATTTTAATGACCCCAATAATAATAGCCTCTTTAAAGTAAGTAAACCTTAGCTAAAATAATTACGTGATAATCACTAAACTTGTCATCAGTTTGATTTTTATGAGGCTATTTATATGAAAATTCTAGCATTCTGCTATAGTAGAGTCCATAATTAAAAAGTAAGAGTGTTGTATACATATTCTAGGTAAATGAAAGAAATAATTTTCCTATTGTGACTTTGTTTATTAATGTCAGTGGTCTCAAGAACTAGTTAGACTTGGATGACCCTATAATTTAGTATTAAAATGCTTTATCATAGGATAATAATGAATTGCTAAGATTTACTGAGTTTTATGTGGAGCACAAAAGCAATTCATGAGATCTAACAGAGTTTATTTCCAAATGAGATAAACTTTATTTGCATTGTCCCATTTTTTAAGGGCCATTCTGTATTTCATCTAAATTTTATAAATTTTTACTTTACTATCAGGTGAAAGAATAGAAGGATTGAGTGTTGAGAAACTTTGATATTCTTGTGAAGGCAGAATAGTTAAAATACACTGAAATACTTCCCCTCTCCCTCCCAGCCCCCCTGGCCTATTATTGTCTTTCACATTCTCTTCTGTTGTGTCCATATGCATGCTTAGTCTCTCCATTCAATCAGAAAGCTGTTGCGTCCCTATTTGACGAAATTTCTTTTGAATTATTATAGACATTGGACAGAGAGGGAGGAGCAGGAGTGAAAATACTGCTTATTGTCTCTGCACGCAAGGCATTTATGATAAGTACTGTATCTGTTGTTAAGGAAATAACATCACATGTTGGTACTTTCCCTTTGAAAGAGAAAAGCAAAGGAAAAGTTGTGATAGTTGAGCACCCAAATGCAAATTTGTCCTATGTGTAAAAAGTTTTTCCTGTATGAAAAAGGAAAATAATTTTACTATATGCCCTATACATAGAAGGATAAACTCTAAATTTACTAGATAGAAATACACTGAAGGTTAGCTTCCACTTTGGTTTAATAGAAAGACTCAGTATAGTTTTCTTAGGAAAAGTACATTATTACTACTTGAATAAACCATATCCCACACTCTTTAAACTTCATAAAGATATTTCAGCCTTGAAAAATACACTCTACAGTTATTTATTTATTTTTATTTTTTTGGTATGTGCCCCTAGTGGGAACTGAACCCGGGACTCTCTGGTCCGCAGGCCGACGCTCCAACCGCTGAGCCAAATTGACTCACTACATTTTTAAGTAGTGATCTATTATTTGTTGTTGTCAAAGTGACCTTATAGTTACATCAGAGAACTTACTGATGGTTTGATTATTTACCCATATTACTGAATGCAGGTCCTGAGAATCCATTGTGAGAAGCCAGTCATCTTCAGTTCCAGTATGTGGTTTTGATACTTGGATTTCTTCTACACTGACTAATGCTAATTCCTACTGAGTAGTGTGGATTGCTTTAATTTTTAAAAAGTTTGTAGTTTTACTTGAAACATTTAATTTCTTTCTTAAAAGTTTTTTTTTTTTTAAATATTTTTATTGATTTTTTTTTTAGAGGTAGAGGAAGGGAGAGAAAAACAGTAATGTGATAGAGAGACATCGATCAGCTGCCTCCTGCATGCCCCCTACTGGGGATTAAGCTAGAAACCGGGGCAAGTGCACTGACCTGGAATTGAAATGAGACCTCTCAGTCCTTGGGACAGCACTCAGTCCACTGAACTACACTGGCTGGGTAATATGGGTAATTCTTTTTATTTTTTTCCCCCCTCCTGAGGACATTTTTCTATTTTTTGATCAGATAGAGTGGGAGGGAGACAGAGAGAGAGAGAGAGAGAGAGAGAGAGAGAGAGAGAGAGAGAGAAACATCGACGTGAAAGGGACACATCAAGTGGTTGCCACCCACATGACCAACTAGGGCCGGGGACAAACTGCATCCGAGTTACGTGCCCTTAGCGGGAACCAAACCCGGGTCTCTCTGGACCGCAGGCCAATGCTCTAACCGCTGAGCCAAACCAGCCAGGGCAATATGGGTAATTCTTGACCTTGGTTGGCTTATCAGTAAAATGGAAACAGTGTTACTGGCATTTACTTACAGGATTCTTTTAAGGATCAGGTAAACGTTTACTTTTGCTTCAAACGCTACAAAATAATACATAATTATAAAGCACTGAGGTAAATACAAGGGAAGGAGAGTTAAAAAAGAAATCTTCGGGATTTGGAGACTTAAGTGTACATATATGTTTTTTAATGTAGCATTAGTCTTGGCATGAGAAGGGCCTGGAATGTAAAGGGAAAAATAATGTCTTTGCAACAAACTATAATCCATCTTTTTGAGGTGATAAAATCTTTGTTTCTGCAGAGTTTTATGGTTTACAGAGCACCCTTGCAAATATTAAAGTATCTAATCATTTTGAATATTGTTCAATAAGAAAAGTGGTAAAACCATACTGGTTTTGACTACTGATTTAAATTTTGTCTTTTGATTGAATTTAAAATAGTTACTTAATAGCAAGTGATTTAATTTTGAAAACAAGTCAAACAGTATGCTCTGGTGTTACTCTTAAAATAAACTTGAGATATAGAATCAATTTAAAACATTCAGATGAGTTATGCTCTTCTGACCTTTTTTGGAATGTTTCTATTTAATTCTCTTCTAGATCTAAAGGAAAGGAAAATGAAAGATTAAAAAATGTGGAGATGTCTCCAAGTATCAGAATTTGATAGAACAGTATAAATTTGAATTGGCAAATGCTGTTTCCACACATTTGGAGTTTTTTGAACTGTATGGAACATTTACAAATGTGAGTTTTTAAAATGTTCATGAACAGAATTTTAATAGAGTGGGAAAGTTGAGGAAATTTAGAATGATGCAAGTACAAATACCTTCTAATTTAAGTACATGTTTTCTGATTAAAAAGGCTTGCTTTTTGTAATTGTATTTAGCTACTCAAAAGAAAGCAGTAGAGATAAGTTATGCAATCTATATTTGGAGAAGAACACTCTTGAAAGTAGTATACAAATCAAATTTAAAAA